GAGCAGTACCAACAGCTGTACTCCCAGGAAAACATCGTTACCGACATAGCAGTTGAGAGCATCAACCCCCTACCAGTAATGGGCGAACTTGATGACCCACCCTCCCTTGAGGAGCTCAGCAAAGCCTTCAACACCCTTGCCAACAGCAAGGCCCCAGATAGTGACGGCATCCCACCTGAAGTCATCAAGGCTGGTAAGAAGGAGTTGGTAAGAAGACGGTACCGACTCCTGCTTCAGTGCTGGGTGGAAGGGTCGTTCCCTCAGGACATGCAAGACGGCAATATCACAAAGCTGTATAAGAACAAGAGAGACAGCAGTGACTGTARCAACTACTGCGGTATCTCCCAGCTCAGCATCGTCGGCAAGGTCTTCACATGCGTGGCCGTCCTAAACAGATTGCAGTCACTCGCAGAGAATGTATATACCCGGAGGCACAGTGCGGCTTCAGAGGAGGAAGGTCGACTGTCGACATGATATTCTCACTGTGGTAGTTACAGGAGAAGTGCAGCGAGCAGAGACAACCACTCTACCTCGCATTCATTGACCTGACAAAGGCGTTTGATCTGGTCAGCAGGAGTGACCTTTTCATGATACTTCAAAGGATCGGATGCCCTCCCAAGCCTCTAAAGATGATAGACTCCTTCCATGAAGACATGAGAGACTCTGTCACGYACGACGGCTCATCTTCACAAAGAAGACTAACATAATGAGCCAAGACGTTAGCAACATCCCCCGCATATCGATTGATGACCACTCTCTAGAAGTGATGGATGACTTAACATATCTGGGCTCCAACCTATTGAGCAAACTCTCATTGGATACCGAGCTCAACACTCACATTGGAAAAGAAGCAACAGCAATGTCCCGCCTGACCAAAAGGGTGTGGGGCAACATCACGCTAACCACAGACACTAAGATGCGAGTGTACCAGGCCTGCCTTCTGAGCATGCTGTTCTACGGCAGTGAGTCATGTACACCCGTCAAGAGAGTAGACTAAATGCCTTTCGCCTGTGCAGTCTCAGAAGGATCCTGGGCATTACCTGACGGGACCGCATCCAAACAAACATGTGCTTGCAAAAGCAAATATCCCGAGC